CCATGTTTCCGACATGGTTCAAGGATTTTCTAACTAGTGGCGGATCCAAAAAAATATTTGAAAGGTCATTAAAAGTTCATAAACATTTATTAGAAATATAATAACTTTAAAAATTAAACCATAATTGTATTGTTCATAATTTATAGAATAAAGAACAATACAAGTTATAATTGTTCACGGCACGTTTTTATATTTTCAAAACGCTGCATTATAACTTCATTATCAATTAAAGAAAAAACATTGCTCTTAGTATAAACAATCATGTTGTCACTCAACTATTGATCTCCCATTCGGTTACACAATAAGTTTTTCACAATATTCATATTAGAAAAGGCTCTCTCCACTAAAACAGTAGCAACCGGTAGAATCAAAGCCAATGTAATTAGCAAATACACATAATTCTATACTTTGTTCTTCCCCGTTTCCACTCTCCACCATTTTTTTTGCAAGACTATCAATTCCTTTCAATGAGAAGATTCACTACTTGAACGCATATCAAAAATATAATGGCCAAGTTAATGTTTTTAATAAAATAAAAAGAACATTAACTCCTCTTTGAGGCATTTTACCAAGTTGTTGGAGGACATGTATATGAAGGACAACTCCAACCTTCAAAAGGTCAGCACCATGTCATTCATGGAGATTCACCGAAGTTCGGGAGGTCACATGACCCCCTTTGCCCCTCAATGGATCCGTGAGTACGTTTGTAACACTTCGTAATTAGGCCAAGTTTTATTTTACATATTGTGTGTATATGATCATTAACAGTTTGATAACATAACATGTTAAACTTTTTTAAGTTTGATTCGAATTTAATTTTTCTTTGTTTTCCTTTCCATTGCGATCATCTTAGATTGGCACATTCATTTTATTCAATTGTAATATGTTACATACATTTGGTATCATCCATTACTGCAATATTATGTCCTATAGATATCACTTAATTTTCATACATAAATATAACAGTCTTAGCTTGTGTTCTATTTTATTTGTTTGTTTGACTAAGAACCCAAGGGTAGTCCAAGTGAAAGTTGTAAAACTATAATGCTGCCTTGCATATATGTGTGTGTGTGTGTGATGGAAGCCTTTAAGGGAAGAAATTTTCATTTTTTTTTATAAAAATGGTGAATAGTTGTGGGGTTCAAATCACATCAAACTTCAACGATCCAATCATCTTTTTTTTCAAGTTGCACCCATAGATCATTTTTGCAAAATATTAGCCAAACTGAAAATAATTAAGGTGTCTAATTGAGTTTAAAGAAATTGATTATCACTTTGTTTTCTAAGATTGAAATTTCATAGTGATAATTAAGTAAGCAAATGGTTTCAAATTGAATTAAACTTTTGCAATAATGATCTATGAATCGAGACTAACGAAATAGATAATTTAAATCATTGAAATTCGACATATAGTGGGCACTATACCTAATCCTTATTTTTATCCAAAAAATAAAGATTTATTTGAATAAAGAGCCTGCGTATGTGGGTCCATCACTCCATATTCCTATAGGAAATATCTTTACTTTGAATACAAAAGTGAACATATTTTTGTGTCCTTTGAAGCAAGATCGAGTGAAAATCTCACATGATTTCTGATGAAGGAAAATACTGGAAAGATGGTCAATAACATAGCATCCTCTTAGTCAAAGCAAGTAAAAGACACTTTAAGAACAGTATATATATGGACACAATCAAATTTTAGGACGACGAATTTCTAAGTTGAAAGACAGAAAAAGATGGCCAACAAACACGCTTTGCTTTTTTATAAAGAAGATAGTGGGATTTAGGATTTCTAGTTTTCTAACATGTATACATATACATAGGGCTGCATTTAACTGTTTTTGACAATGGTATCTTTGGCACAAAAGAACGTGACCAAAAGTTGATGATTAGGGTATTTGTGACAGAAAAAATTTGGCTAATACACTAATCGTGACCTTTTTTATGGATATTTATGAGATTGACCCACACATGTCAGTTAGACGTTCATGCAAATAAGCATTGGAAATTGAATAGTTCTTGGCATTACTATTGAAATTAGAGCGATTAATGCAAAACAAATTGTCAACAGCGAACATGTGCTCGTGGCATTTTAATTATATGAAATCTTATGTTGTGAATAGATAGAACACAAACGTAGTACTACAAGTTAGAGGTTTTCATGCCCAACAAACCATGCTCGCTGCTTTGGTTTCTTCTTTGGTGATGAGTTGTCTAGCTGCAAACATCAATAATCAAGAGTGCCTTGTGGATATCTAGCTTAAATATGTAGTGCATGTCGTGTTTCACTTTCGTCGTTTAGTTTTATATTTTTTCAATTTTATATTTTTCAAATTACGTTACCAATCTAGTTGAAGGCTGAAATTTTTTGATAAAATGACGTGAGCAATGTATTTTACTTTGATCGTCTAACGTTCAATTGTTAAATTATATGCTACTCCAATTGCATCATCACTCACCAATCTCAGTTTATCCTTCCTCAACACTTCCATTAATCTGCAAATTAATTTGAGGTATAATTATCAATGCATATGTACTAAATTAGCCAAAATCTAAGAAAAAATGGATACGTAATTAAATCTTATGGGATATATAAACAAGATACGTTACAATATTCATCAGAAAAAATTCAATCAATAATAAAAAATATGTTTACAAAACATAAAAAAATAAGCAGTTAAACAACCAAAACGGAAAATTTAAAGTGGAGCAAAGCCACACAATTAAAACGAAAAACGTTCTCACTAACAACTACAAAACACGCATCACCAAATTTAAGCATAACATATAATTGTATCATACAACCTAAAAATTTCAACCTATAATCCTAAATAATAACTGTCACTATGAATCGAGCATGCAATGTCATACAGTCACATATATATATATATATATAGAGAGAGAGAGAGAGAGAGAGAGAGAGAGAGAGATGAAAAACAAGCAAAAAGTTTAAAAATTTAGGGGTTCAGTTCAGACAGCCTCCAACAATTGACAAATTTGTAAATTAAAACTGAAATCTTCAACGATCCAACTGCGCATAAAAACATGTCTTTCCAGCCATGGTAGCTCAAGCGATTAATTCAGTGCCTGTATGAAACGTACGACAAGGGGTAGCACATGGTGAGACCAAAGACTAACCCTTGGAATTGGCAGACAAGGTTTGGGGAGGTGGGGCCCACACTCAAGCGTGAAAAAGTTTAAAAATCTTGAGCAATAAAGATAAATTAAACTTTCTGCTTTGGACACCCTCGATGGAAACAGATTCGAAATTTGGAAGATATTACAACACAAGGGAAAATTGGACCCCACAAAGATTATATTTTCAGGCCCACATAAGATCTCCCAAAATTTTCTCTATGGGCCCCACCCACCCATAAAAGCCTTTTTCCTGGCAGGCTGGCCCCCACCCTCAGCCCTCTTCTCTAGTGTATTGCGCAAGCTTTCATTATTCCAGTCCCATTTTCATGCCTCTGTAGCTACATAGGCTTGATTTATATGTTATCTTTGTTTCCTCGGTTCGGATGGTAGGCTGCAACTCATCTACTTAAAGTCGAAATCACTAGTAATCGTCGATCAGCTATATAACGGAGAATTCGTTCTCATTACGGGAGTTTATATTGCTTTACAACTCGTAATCGGATTGTTTTATTTTTAATTATTTATGCAATTCGAATTATGTTATGTGCGAAATATTTGACTAGAGAATCTGACTTTTTATGTTTTTCTTTAATTACAAATTTCTCACAAAGGACTTGTAATAAATGGTGAAGAACATTTACTCCAACTTCAAGATTTTGTCTTCAAATTAACCTCTCCTTGCATATCGTTTTCTTAAACTTAATGAGGTTAGAAATGTAACCAACACTTGGTATATATCTCATGAATTTAATAATTGACCAAGAACTTGCAAGTGGTCCTTTATAAGCGTACAGCATACTATTAATTGATTCATTTACTAAAATTGCAAATTAAGTTGTACAAATTAATAAAGTAATTAACTGCGTTTAGGGTTAGGGTTTGCAATAACTCTGTTATGTGGTTGAATATCTCTATCCCCGATCTGTTTTAGTATTATGTGGTCCCTTAATCCTTACATACGCATAATTTCATAGTAAGGTCAGATTTTGTGCAATCTCTTTTGCCCTTAAACTTGAGTCTCAAGTATAGTGCCACATCAAACTGATCCGATTTGAGGATCCAGATCTTCTCCCATGATCCTACCAAATTATTTGGCAGACTAAATGTACATAAACTGCAGGAAAAGAGATTCAAACTCGAATAAAACCGATGGATCACACTACTTTAGCCAACTTCATTAAATATAAATGTGTTTCGTGAATCACATCCTATTTTTCGTACGCAAATAACTAGGCATGCATGCAGGAAGGATGACAACTGATAAGTAACTTACCAACTGTTAGTTGAAAACAAAACCCTTTCCACAATTTGTTAGCAACCTCGACGTTACGAGAGATACTTTATTTATAATTAAAGAAGAAAAAATATATGAGTATGAGTGAATACATGGCCCAATTACATTTACCATAAAAAAAATCCTGAATAATATCAAAAGACTCAGCACACGACTTCTCAAACCGTTGCAAATACTTCTCAAGATTTATAATTAGAAAGAAGAAAGAAAAGAGAAAAGCCAAATATAGCAACTTAGCAAGCAAAGCTAACCACATTTGTCTTAAGTCCCTAATTCAATCCAATTTTCACCCAAAATCAACTCCTTTTCATCATTATCTTGACCAAATGGGAAAAAGGATCTCCGGATTTCCCTTGGCAATCAAACAAAATCTCAACAAAGAAAATAAAGAAGATGTTAGGGAGAGAAATATGAGTGGTTGTACCAACGCGGTGTAGAGAATCTAGTGAGAGATCACAACAAGAGTAGTACACATGCATGACACATGATACAATATCAACGACATCTCTCTCTCTCTCTCTCACTATCTTGCAAAAACAGGTTTGGTTGCTCATTCTTTTCTCATCTAGTATATAAACCCATGCACCTAATTGCTTAGAACACCTTGCACCTGTGGAATAATCACACACGACCTCACACTCATCCATTCATTCATTTCCCCTAAGGCACGCCTATCTCTCTCTCTCTCTCTCTCTCTCTCTCTCTCTCTCTCTCTCTCTCTCTCTCTCTCTCTAAAATATAAAAGGTGCATATTGACATTGGTAAAAAGAATATACAGCAGCAGCAGCTCACAGAGATTTCTGTGTTCATCAGGCACTTGAAAAGGGTAAATTTCGAGTCATCCGTTAGTTTAACAATGGAGGTGGTAGTGAAGTCAGATGTTGCAGACTTCAAACAACAGCAGCAGCAACCACAACAACATTTCCATGTATTGGCAGTGGATGATAGCATTTTGGACAGGAAGCTTTTGGAGAGGCTCCTCAGAGGCTCTTCTTATGAAGGTAAACCACTCCTATACTCGTTAATTAATTAATACAGACCTGAGCGTAGCTAATTTGATTAGAGCAATATATCCTCTCTCTACCCCAAGTTCGACTTCCCCTTTCGTAATTTAGATGAATTCAGTGCATTTGTATAAAAGTTATTTAATTAATTGATTAATGACCTTCCTCTCCACACTCACATATTTTTGGGTTCTTAATTTTCATTTTCATATCATTTTAAATATAATCAAAACTAAACAGATAGATAGGTATCTAATTTTAAATATAGAGCCCATTTGTTTTTTGGTTTCTTGGATGAACATACATCTAATTATTTGCCAGCTTGCTTTCTGGTAGTCTTACATTTTTAATCATCTGTGTTTTCATTTGTATATATTTTCTGTGGTAGCAGTGACTTGTGTGGACTCTGGGGATGAAGCACTAAAATATCTGGGTTTGCATGATGACCTAAACCAAAGTAGTACAACTTCCTCCTCATCCACTTCCCGTCAGTCATCAGATGTACTGGAGGTGAGATTTCATGATTATCCTTCTACACATAGCAAAAATATATTATTACATTGTCCAGAATTTATCCAAGTTGCAACTTAGAGTGGAATATCATGTATAGGAATATAATCATATATCAATCTCTAGTGTAGAATTATTGTCTTTAACTAGATAATTACCATCTGCACAATCCGTCAGGTGTGAGGTTTTATCACAAAAGATCTTAGTGTTAGTTAGAGTGGGGTTACAATGTTTAAATTCTTTTTTTCTCATAAATACAGTCGATATGAGATATTTCAACAGTTAGACTGAATTTTGTGCATTAGGGCCTTTGAAATTAAGCCCAAGTGGTAAGACATAGCAGTAGAGAAATGAATTAAAATTAGGTTAGGTCAAAAGTTCGATTTTGTTTAAACTGCACACAATATTGAAGAAGAGTTTACTAGTTCCAAAATATAACAGACAGATAGATACAATGTTGATTTTAGGTTTTAGAATTAAAGCTTAACATGTTCTTACGTTGATGAAGGTTTTAGTACTGATTTTTTAGGTTATTATCTATGTGGAAAATATGGTTATTAATTAATTTCTCAATTGAATGGAATGCAGGGAGCAAAAGTCATCAACTTGATCATGACAGACTTCTGTATGCCCGGAATGAGCGGCTATGATTTGCTGAAACGCGTCAAGGTCTTCCACCATTGCCGACTTAATTACCATACATATACTTTCTTCTACTGTTTTGAATTTTTATTGAAAAGAAACTACTTGCACATACTCAAGATCGAATAGAAAAGTTTTGAAGAGTAATACAATGTGACCTGATCTTAGCCGTCCAAGCTTTGTGATTCTAATAAATATAAATAGCATTCTAAATTAACTCCAGCGTATGTACGACTGAAGTTATCAACGTAGAATGAAATAGTCATTGTTTATTAATTAATTCCTAAATGTATGCAGGGATCTTCTTGGAAAGATGTACCAGTCGTGGTCATGTCATCAGAGAATGTTCCTTCTAGAATCAACATGTGAGTTAATTGCCTTAATTATTTACCTTTCTTTGTTTTTATGTATAGGAGCCTTTAAATGAAAGGATTTCTACTTTTTTTTAATGTAGGGATTAATTGTGGGATCCACATCACATTGAATTTCAAAGATGTGTATATTTTTCCAGTTGGACCTCACAGATCATATACGTGGATATCTGTATGTAATTGTTTTCTTTGGAAATAATGTGTGTGCGCATTAAATTATTAATTGCAGGTGCCTGGAAGAAGGGGCAGAGGAGTTTCTGTTGAAGCCACTCCAGTTTTCAGATTTGAAGAAGCTTCAGCCTTACCTGCTCAAATCCCTCCGTCACTATTCTTCTATCGACAGTATTGACAACAGCGACGACAACAATGTCTCAGTGAAGGGGGAAGTTGGTGGTGGTGAGAATGACCAAACTGACCAAACCAAAAGCACTACCGAGATTAATCATGCCAGGGGTAATACCGTCAACAACAATATTGTTGGTATTAGCAGGAGGAAGGCCCAAACAATACCAGAGAGATCAAGGCCCACGATGAAGGGACTAGCTGTTCTAGTATAATTAATCGAGATTAATCAGTTCTAAGTTAATACACATTTAATTTATTACAGCGGTGAGTATGTTATACATACTGTAATCAGATTTTCCAAGGATTGAGTGTTTTATGACGCTCCCTCTTTTGAATATGTGGTTTGGTTTTGGCAAAATAGGGGCGTCGATTCGATTATATCGAGTTTCAATCCCCTAAACTCTCGGAAGGGTCGTCCGAGCGTGTTTTGGTTTACGGTTTCATGTTCTATTTCACTTAAGGATGGGCAAATACCCATTGGTTATGGGTAACCGCGGTTACCCGTTCATTTAAATTAAACGGTTACGGTTATGGGTAACCGTTTAGATAAATAAACGGTTATAGGTATAACCGTTTACCCGCGAAATTTAAATGGGCGGTTATGGGTATTAACCACGGTTATAAACGGGTAACCGTTTACCCATTTATTTTATATATGTAAAACTAACACAAACAATGTTCTCAATCCAATAATACTTTAGCACCCAATAAATTAGCAAGGAATTCATCGGTCATTCTCTCAATAACACTACCAGAGGAATGATGATTCTCATCATCAAGGAATTGGCCAAATTAATTTAAATTCCTTGTGGGTAACCGTGAAATTGACAGAAATGCTTTGACAGAAATATCTTCTAAACAATTTTTGTAACCCAATAATACTTAGCAAATATTATATTTACCTTCATTGGTAACAGTTAAAAATATCGTCCGTAAACTATTATTTCAATTATTGGAATGGTATAAGGACTTAAAAAATTAAAATATGGAAATGTATGATGAATGTACCTATAACGGTGTTTAATTGTCAAAAAAAAAATTATGACAATTTTTTTTTAATTTTCAAGTTGTTAAAAAACATGTAGACGGGTGAAAAAAGGGTAATGGTAAAAAAAAAAAAGATAAATGGATTAAAAATGATAAATGGGTAAACGGGTATTAAACGGTTACGGTTAAATGGGTATGTGGTTATGGGTATGGTTAACCGTTTATAAACGGTTATGGGTATAACCGTTTAGGCAATTATCCAACGGGTAAACGGTTATGCGGGTATGAGCATAAACAGTTATGGGTAAATTAACCGCGGTTACCCGCCCGCATAACCATTGCCCATCCCTAATTCTTTTCACCCTTCCCTCACGGTACTACTTCACTATCGATCACCCAGTATGTAGCCTTGCAAGGTGGTCCTTGCTGATTCACACGGGATTCCACATGTCCCATGCTACTCGGGTCAGAGCGCAAGCTAGTGATGCTTTCGGCTACTGGACTCTCGCCATCTAGGGTGCGGCAAAGTTTCGCGTCTGTAGAAATCATCTCTATAAAAAAAATTAATTAAAACTACGGTCGTTTAGCATCGGTTCTGTGTGTCTAAATAGAAAGCAACCACAAGAAGGCATGAAGCTGAATATTAACGCATACACAATTGACTGGGAGAGATGATGAAAAATTACGGTAACTGGGATTCAGAGATATATAATTAACTTGAGCATTTGTAAATTAAACTCCTTCCGAGGGTTTCTTCTACATTAATAAAACTGCACATTGTAACACTACTGCTATCGCTGAAACTAGTGTGCCGGACGACGAAAACACCTCCTGCTTTATTCAAAGGGAAGCCCAAAAATTAGGGAAAACGTAACTACTGATAGGGAAGGAGGGATATGGGAGGTACGTCAGACATTGCTTCCCTCTATGATTTACCGTTCTCAAAGTAAGAGTTTATATCTCGGCCGCCATAATATCCAACTAGTCGCCTCAATGTCTGTCTTCTCCTTGTACAACTGGTTCAGGAAAAGAACATTTTAAGACCCAAGTCCGGACTAGCAACTTCATTCAATTTTTGAAGAACATAACCATGCTGCAAGAACTTTGTCAAGCTGCGTAAACTAAATACAAAGCTATGGAACAGGCATTTACCTATTTAGAGCTCATCCTTTCCGGATTCTTGTTTCTCAGCCTCTACTTGTTTCTCAATTTTGTCCCGGTTCTTTTCAATGAAAGCAGCGATGGCTTCCTTAGTTCTATCTTCCTCATCATATGACAAGACCTTTCCACTTGCCGTCTTGAAGTACAGAGTCGGGTAGTATTTGACATCGAAGTCACTTGGTACATCATTTGAAGTGGCATCCTAAAAATGATAGCAAGAAATGAAGAACGATTAAGAAAAACTCCTTACAAACTAGAACGATCAGCATCTGTAGAAAAGGCTGATAAAGCAACTAGCAGGGTAATAAATCTTACAAATTTTGCAATAATGACATCGGAATCCTTTTCGTATGAGACTGCAACTTCATCCAAAATTGGAGCAAGCTTCTTGCAGTGTCCACACCAAGGAGCATAGAACTCCAGCAACACTGCAGAGTTAACAAAATCATATTATACAAACCAGTCCCGAGAGCAACCATGTGAAGACAACAGCAGAAAATATAGAAGTAGACGCTGAGCGGCTATGTGAATTAAATATGTACCAAGTTTAATGGTCTGGCCCAAACAACCATCTGCCTTATTCGAATTTATATGATAACAGACCCTACCATTGTATACAATAACAACAAAAAACTGAAGAGGGTGATGACAGAACGACACTTGGGATACCAGAAAGAATGTGTGGTATAATTAACTCAAAAGCAACTCGTGGAATGCATTGAACCATAGATGATCCCCCAGCATAACACTTCAATATAATAAGCAGTTTTTATGTTTTAATGTACATCGAACAATTTGCCCTTGGTCATAGAATAAGATGGTATTTGGAGAAAGTGTCTGTTCTGATCAAGGTATTGAGACTCAAAGGTCTTAAGAAAATCAAATAATTAACAGATAAGCAAAGAAATACTAGTAAGAAAAGACAATAATATAATGCGAGAGTTTCTGTTTGCGCACCATTTTTCCCGGACTTGATGTACTCCTGGATGTTGTCAGCGACTACGACCTTGACAGGCTCATTGTTTGGCTCGGGAATAGGTTCAGATTTCTTGTATGGTGATACTTTCCCATCCTGCGGTTATGTAATTTAGTCAATAAGTGTCAACAAATATAGCTTTAATCAAACTTCACTGCAATCAGCTTATAAGGAAAGAGGCAGAAGCCTCACCTTGTATTCCTTCACCCATGATGTGATGTGATCTGGCTGCAAATTTGGTTTCAAAAACTTTTGGCCATCAGGGGTCTGGATGATGATGAGAGGCACCTGGTCTTCTTTAAGTCCAAAATACTGTTCACAAAAACAAATAGAACATTTAACATGGCATAAAATATACATGATAAAACGAATCTGGGAACATGAAGACAATTGCAAAGGGTAGTCCAAATGAGAACATTCTAACCTGGAAGGCGCCCTGACTAGCCTCAAGATCTCCAATGAGAAAGCTTATGCCTTCTTTCTTATATTTCTCAGCAACTTCACGATATGTTGATTTAAAAGCATCAGAAGACTCGCCACTGAAGTTCAGAAACAACATAGCCTACCAAGTTCAAAACTGGTGCATTAGAAGACTGCATCACTTATTTTGGGAAGAGAAAGATTGAGATAGAGCATTAGGCTACAACAGAATTACAAGTGAACATGTCATGGCTTAATAGGACATACCAAAAGGAAAACAAAAACAAGCTACGATAGAGCATTAGTCTACAACAAATATTTAAAAAGAAAATATAGAAACATGTGGATAGAACTTGAGTGACATTGAAAGTGAGATCTGATAATGTAAAGAAAAAACATGATTTTTCCAACACAAATCAACAAGAAGCATCAACTTAATAATAAATAGATAAATAAATCCAAATCATGTCCATAGTATATACCTTCTCATTTGGACTGTTAAAGAATTTGACAACAAAAGGGTGATTGGTTGGGTCATTGTTGAATTCTGTAACAAGTGGCGTACTAGCTTCTTCAACAAACTTCTCTAGAGCATCCACATGAAAATCCTGCAAGCATGATCACCTTGTTATTACATTTACTGTCCATAATACCTCAAAACAAAGCATGACAAACTGAATCTAAACAGGAGAAAGGCCAATATACCTCAGAATCAACAAAAAGTTCATCAAATGGCTTGAACAGCCTAACTACGGGTCCAGACACTGATGAATCACCACGAGGAAGGAGCTTAGCATCGAGAGTGTGACCAAATTCATAATCAGAACGCAATTTCTCAGCCAGAGCTGAGAAGTTATTATACGCCTCGCCAGAGAACTCCTTGAACACACCAACCTACAAATATACGAAATGAGTAGTTATGCCATCTGATACTCCTCAAAAGATTACATCGAGCTAGGAAACATAAACAGACATTGAACACTTACAATAACGATCTTCTTGTCGCCAACAAGAGTAGTTGTATCATCAGTTGTCTTGATTTCGGCAGAAGCTGGACCACTCTGCTGCTTCAAATATTCAACAATACCCTCAGCTTCACGAGGACCCTTGTATTCTTGGATGGTCTTCCCACCATTTCTTAGAATCTTAATTGTGGGAAATCCCTTCACCTCATAATCAGAAGCAAGTCCTTTGTTTGCCTCTTCATTGGCATCAACCTTTGCTAGAATGACTGGTGGGTCATTTTTACTCAAAATCGACGCAGCTTTTTCAAACTACCCAAGCATTAAGCAAATTAAAATGTCAGAATAATCAGAAGATACATGGTTTGTTAATTGAAATGCAGAATTGGTGAGAAATAAACATTCAACAGCTTAATTTCTTACCTCGGGAGCGAGCTTCTTGCAGTGGCCACACCTATAAGAAACATAGACAGCAAAATTAACACAACAATCTATCAGAAAAGTACCAATAAAAAAAATCAAATCGAAAACTGAAAAGCATATCGGTATCTCATTTCTTCAGCACAGATAAGCACTTTCCGCATGCATGTTGCTCCGATATATTTTTCGCAATTATAATCCGAAAATTAAATAACAAAACACTAAATCGACCATTAAACCACTGCATGCAGATGCAGTAAGCTCCAAATTCACCAGCACGAACAGGAATTCACATATATAACGTCAATTTTCAACCGTGAAATCAAATCCATAACAATTCCTCATAAATCGCCTAATTAAAAAAGTGGAAAACATGAATTCGGCAAAATTTCAGATCCAATCACAAAAAGCCAAACACAAATCAAACGAAGCATGAGAAACAACGAAGATCG